TAAAGACAAACTGTTAAAGGAAGAAACAAAGCAAACTTACAGTTTCTTTACACCCACCAACAACAAACGCTCAACTCCACACCTGGACACTAAACATTTATAATGCATCCAGCAACACTGACGCACCGACGCATGTATCAAGCTCACAGAGCGAAGCCTGTGTCGGTGCGTGCGTCGCTTTAAGAAAAGGTCACGTGATCGATACAGCTGCTGTATCGCTCATTGCCAACGCGCCAAACTGTGTTTAAAAGGTACCGCATCCGCCAACGGAATGAGTCGCCACCAAAAAACACACAAAATTACTCTCGCAAAGATAAAAAATAAAAATAAACATCTCTCCATATCAAAATGGAGCCCGAAAGAAAAAGAAATGTTTCTGCTGTGTGGGATCATTTTGATCTTTTAACTCTAAATAAGGTAATAGTTTGTCTGTCTTTGTTTCAGTGTAATCTATCAGAACACCTCCTCGGTGTTTAGGCATTACAGAGCCAAACATGAAAATGAGGAGACAAACACACCGAGAATGAACACAGGTCGGCCTATATAGACACTGAACAGCTTCATCATCATTTTTTTTATTAGTATGTGTTTTATTATTTTGAAATCAAGCATCTAGGAAGATTGTTCTGGGCCAGGCAGTCCTGAATTTTATTATAAAGGACTGCCAACCCCTTAGTATTGTGGAGAGTGTCTGAGAGAAACATTCCAAGATCAGAGGATCCTTTAACGTACTGAGGGAATAGGAAGACATCTTATCTTCCACCTGGCTTTACAGTTTTTGCGTACCCCAGCTTTATCTGTGCCTGTGAGTTTTCCAAAGCTGGGGAAATGGTGTCAAAAAAAGGCAATAGACTGAATGCAAAAACAATGGATAAGCTTATTTTTCTGGATATAAATTTATATTAAACTCTGAGTCAAATACATTTAAATAGGTAATATTACATTTACAATACTTTCATTTTAATTTTCACTTAATGTCATTCACAATATATTTTAAAGATGTCTACAATATTTGCAATGTAAAACATAAATTGATTCCATGGACAGTACAATACCTTACAGCGTACAAGTATGACTAGGTATTTGAATCAGTGTCTGTCGTGAGTCTCAAGTAAGTTGCCTGCAATGATATTTAATGTCCAGCAGGTGTCAGTATGGAGCAAAACAGCAACACTGTGTCGACACAGTATCGATACAGTTTGGGGAATGTGCTGAAACGCTTCACTAGGCCTCATCTACCCATCACTACTAAACACTAGTGATGGCCCGCTTGAAACAGACGCTCCGGTGCGTGTGTCAAAAAAAATCAACACACTGCTTCAGAAGCACTGTGTCGAGGCTTGATTCGTTTGGCCAGAGACACGTGATCAGTGACGTCCGAAGCTTCATTTAGAACGTACTTGATTCAGTGGTTTATAGGGAAGTTAATCATTCGCAGGATTTGTGGAGTGTTTTGATGGTGAGAGATAGGAAACCACTGATATTCATTCTATATCATTTCTATTGAAAGATATGAAGCCAACGAGTAAGAGGGAAGCTTCTGTCGTGTGGGAGTATTTTGAGGTGATTTTGGTCAATCGGGTGGGATTGCCAACTTTGTGTTCTTGTTTTTTGTTTTTGTTTTGTGTGTTTATTTTATCTGAAAATGTGAAAAACTTAAAATATCAAAAAACTGCTTTTCATAATATAAATATTATTATACAACTTTATAAACACTTCCATTTGACTTAAATTTAATATAATTATAAAATATGTATTTTAAAAATAATCTTAAAATGTTATTCTACAAAATGTGCAGCAATTTAATTTGTTTATTCTTTTTAGCTGACAATCTGTGGGACCCAGGAAGACCCTACACCTGCATCTCTACCTGTTTCTGTGCACTCCAGCTTCTTCTGTTCCATGTGAGGGGATTTTCTTTAAGGCAGGAGAAATTATCTCCACGACAGGGGATTTTAGCCCATTTTTGGGGGTGCTGAAGTGCCTGGCTTAAAACAGGACATATTAGCTGCATTTAACCTTCAGTTACTCTTCATATAGTTGGTAGGACCATGTTTCTTTTTAGCTGAAAAACATTACATCCAGGTAACCTGCAGTGTTGAAAACTTGTTTTCCGACGATGTTTGCTACCATACAATCCGTCCTGCTCTGTAGTAAAATCAGCGACATTTGACCGTCCTGTTGCTCCCATTGAAATGTATACAGCCTATTTAAAATCTAAAACTTAAAATTGTCCGCAGCCTACTGTTGTTACCACTGTCCTGTTTGAAATGGATACTTACTAGCTAACTGCCTGAATGCCCATTAACCGTATAACTCCTGTTGTGT